TTTTTCTTTTTCTTGAGACAGGGTCTCCCTGTGGCCCCAGCTGGCTTCAAATTGGCTAAGTAGAACAGGCTGGCCTCCATCCCACAGAGATCCGCCTGCCTCACCTCCTGAGTGCCAGGATTAAAGGCATGCACACCTGGTTCTCTGTGCTTTTTGACTACAGATGCGATGTGACTAGTTCTTTCAGCTCCTGCCACTATGACTTCCTGCCAGGATGGACTATACCCTGGAACTGTGAAAAAAATAAACCCCTCTCCCTTAAGTTGCATGGGTCAGAGTGTTTTATCACAGGAACTGGAAAAGAAACTGAGAGTCCCTGTCTCAAACAACCCCAAACCCCACAGGGTGGCTGTGAAACTCCTCCTTTATTCAACTGGGAACTGTCGTCAACGTGGTTCTGCTGGGGAAGGGAAACTAAGGCAGGAGAGTAGGTGGGAGACATGGGGGAATTCAGGGAGAGGTGGGGAAGGGCAGGACAGGGCGTGTACAAAGGTGGGTTCCAGGGACACACACCCCACACAGAGGCAAAGACCACTGGTCATATCTGCCCGGACTTGATGGCCGCAGGAACATCGAGGAAAGACCACAGTGTATCAAGACATTTCAGTCCTTCCTGTCATGAAGCAGCTGCCAAGAGGGGCTGGCCAGGAGGGTCTCAGGGCTGTGGAGAGAGAGGGGGACAGTCAGCTTGTGAGGTCCAGGAAGGAGTGTTAAGGGGGCATCGATGCCAGGCACAGTAGCACAAGCACCTGCCTAGAATTTCCCCAGTGAGGGGCTGGAGGCGTGGCTCAGTGGTAGAGTTCCTGGCTAGCATGCATGACATAATGAATTCTAGTCCCAATACTATTTGGGGGAAAAAAAATCCCCTACAAAGGGGATCCATCATCCATGTTCAAGAACTTACGGCACTGGAACCTAGTCCCTTGCTCAGAGCAAAGCAAGTCACCAATTCGGGGACACGGTAGTCAGGTATTTAGAGGCTCTGTGTTCTGGCTTTTGAATGTGCACCCGGGGAACTGGCACTGGGTCTAGACTACTAGGAAGCTGGGAGCCCGCTCTGTGGTAGTTTGAGGGAAGGTGATCACAATCAGCTTTGGTTTCTAGCTTTGGTTTCTAGCTGTCTCCCTTGGTTCTAAGGTATTTCTCCCTAGAGTATCTGTGGGTCAGTTTAAAGTTCCTAGACCCAGTTCTTAGGATCAGGGTCTGAGGATAATTAGTGATCTGGATCAAACACTCACAGGGGGCCCTGGCTGCTCTCACTCGTGCGACCCACTGGGTCAGAAACTATTTTCTGGCAGAGGGTGAGAGTTGACCCAGGGGTGAAACTGCCAGAACTTTTGACACCTTTTTCTTGGTTGTTTTTTTTTTTTTGTCTTATTGAGGCAACGTCTCCCTGTAGCCCCAACTGGCCTGGAACTTGCTATGTAGACCCCCAGCTGGCCTCGAAATTACAAGAGATCAGTCTGCCTCTGCCTCCCCAGTGCTGGCACTAAAGGTGTGCGCCACCATGTCTGGCCATTTTTGTCTCTTTAAAAGACAGAACTCACGCAGCACAGGTTGGCATCAAACTCACTCTGTAGCCAAGGACAACCTAGAACTTGTGATCCTCCTGCCTCCACCTCCAGTACTGGGATTACAGGACTACAGCACAATGCCGTTACATTATTTTTCTGAGACAGGGTCTCATGAAGCCCAAACTGGACTCTAATTCATGGCAACCCTTCTGCCTCAGTGACCTAGTGCTCTGATCACAGGCATACTCCCGGAGCCTTACCTACCTACATATCTATCTGAGACAGTCTCCCACAGTCCAAGCTGGAGTGAAACTCAGTATGTAGCTAAAATGACCTTAACTTTGATTCTCCTTCATTCCCTAGTGCTGGGATTACAGGGTTGAGTCATGGTACCCAGTTTACATGGTGCTGGAAATCTGTCAAGTTTGGCTTCTAGTGTCAACTTGCCTCACCTCAACTGGGAAAGTGACCTCAAGTGGGGATTTTTCTCTATCAGAACAGCCTGTGGGCATGTCTGTGAGGCATTTTCTTCACTGTTGAGTGATGTCAGAGGGCCCAGCCTACTATGGGTGATGCCATCGCTGGGCAGGTGATC